ACCGAACAATTAATTGCCCGAGATTGCAACAAAAACTCGAATTAATTATTTCCGACTCCTTAGCTTTTCTATCATTATTTCATTTCTATTTTTTTAGATAGATTTATATTTCTTGTTATTTCTTAATTGACAATCAAAAACCAATTCGATCTTGAATTACAGTGTTTAGGAATTTATTTTTTATTTTTGTGTTTTGGACAAGTAACTAGCAAACGAAGCTCCGAACTGTCTTCCTTTGAGAGACAACCGAGTCCGGATAACTCGGTTACCAAATTATCCCACCACAAAATACTGCACAACAAAATGGCGCCGTTGCCGGGGAAGGCAAGTAGGACACCGAGTTTGCTTTTTTAGTTATCCCTTGTTTCCATATTTCTCTTGTTCTTGTGATATTTGCTTAATTTCAGTGTTTCTCTTGATTTTTTTATTTCCCATTACTCTTGTTTCTTGGTATTTTTGAAAATTTCGTAAAAAAAAAATCTATTTGTTTTTGTTTTTGTTCCCTTTTCTTTTTCTTTCTTTTCGTGGCTTTGCGTGGTTGTTCTTGTGTTCAAGTATTTTGAACTGAAGTATCAATGAACCCGAGCGTGTTCCCCTCCTCGCACACTTTATTGGAATAATGGACCAAGCTACGGTTCGTGGGAGTATGGCCAGACATGTGCCTTCCCTTACGAGCAACTGTGGAACCCGTTACCGTTCGAGCAGTCATATGAGTCCCCTGTGGACTCCTCAGAGTACGATGCTAAGCTTGATCGGGTTTTAGATTTTCTGACCTCCCAAGCAGCCCGAACGAAAAATTTTGAGGCTGAAATCGAGAACCTAGCAGAACATATCCGAGTTCTGGAGGACCGAGTTTACAATTCTTCCCCCGATTCCCTCCTGCATAATGAATATCGGGGGAACGTTTTGACGGATGATGAAAAACTCGATCTCTTTCTTGCTCATATGTCGACCCAAACAACTCGGCTGGAGAAGATGGAGGGTGTATGCACTCGGTTGGTGGTACAGCTTGACGGTATAATAGTACGCGTTCAGTCCGTCAAGCCACAAGTCGATGAGCCCATTATCAATGTCAATCAGATTCACGAGGGCGAGACTGAAGAAGAGGAAGATGCGCTCCCAGAGATTGAGGGTGATGTCCTGATGGAGGAAACTCCTGTGCCGAAATTTGAGAATCCCTCACTTGAGCCATCCCTCCGCACTGTCGAGAAGGCCCCATTTAGCTCAACATGCTCCACGGACACTCTCGTTTTTCGAGAGGTTGACTGTGGAGGTTTGATGAAAAGAGCCCTGGGTCGTTTTGTTACCATCCTTAGTGCTCATGCTCGGTTCCATAAGAACATTGCCGCCCGAGCCCACCAGGCCTGCGGTCATGCCACCTTTCTCGTGCTGCCGCTCCTTGAGAATACTAACGCATGGCATGATTGTCACTTCTTTTTGGATCCCGGTTGATTTGTACAGGTTTCGTCAAGCTAATGATGTTAAACAAGCGCTTCTTGGGAGGCAACCCAAGTTTCATTTACTGTTTTCTAGTGTGTTTCGTTTATGCTCTTTATTTTATTTCATTTTTGAATAATGGGAGTTTTGGAGTTCTGTGATTCTCTTGTCAAGGGACGAGCTTGTAGCATGACGATTGAGCTGAACGAAGAAGATCAAAGTCCCGAGTTGAGCGTAGGAGAAAGAATTGCACGTGAACGCTTATCCTCATCGACGCATCTTCGGTTTGCACACTCTTTTCTTTTTTTTATTTTGGTTTCTTTTGAGTTTTGTGCTATTGTGTCGGTGCTAAATTGGTTCATCATGTGAAATTTCTAAGTCTTGATATTTTAACTTCCCGGTTATGTGTGGAAGCAATGAGGACATTGCTTCATTTTAAGTGTGGGGGAGTTTACTTGGATTTTGCATGCTTATATGGTGGACCGGTCTAGTTTTAGGTTTTTGTGTTGTCGAGCATGTGGTATTGGTGAATTATATGATTTGTTGATGATTGTTTGATGAAATTGGGAAGTTTTGATGACGAACGTATTTACCATTGCCTCAATATTTACTTGACTGCTTTATGTGACATTTATTTACCTTGTGAGATTTCGATCCTTACTTTTCTTTCTTGAGAGATATTGGTCGTATTCTCGAATGATTATAACTTGCCTTGAGTTTATTTGAAAAGAATCGGTTAGAGTTTGAAATTGCGAAAATGATCGAGGCATTTTGTTTGTTAGCTCATTTTGCCTTGTTCTTTGGTCCTAAAATTATATTCCCTAATAATCCGTTTGAGTCTTGAGCCTTTTCTTGTCAGCCGTACATATAATGAATTTTGTCGATTGATATGCGTGATGATTGGTAAAGACGGAGTCATTGTTGAATGAGGTGAAAATCGAGTTGCATTTTATGCTTGACAATATAAGAAAAAAAATATAAAAAAATAAAAATAAAAAGAGAGCTCGCAAGACGAATCGACTGGATTCTACTCCGCTTACTTGTTATTCATTTTAACAAGTAATGACTATTGGGAAACCACTTTATGACACTTGGATGACCTCCAATGTTTAAACCTAAGGGATATTGTCCTTACGATTCGAGCTTGTTCGGAAATAGTAACTCTCTAAATTAAAAAAAAAAATAAAATTGTGTAATAATTCAAGCAATATTGCAATTCGATTGGAGCATTTATGTGTTGTTTGTGGAGACATTGGTGGATGGTATGTATGCTATCTTGTTGATTTTGGTTGGGTGGCAGACATTCGAGTATTTTATTACTCGAGAACTTTGATTGTTTATTTGAGCTTCTTGACTATATATCCTTACCTTTACCTGCAGCCACATTACAACCCGAGAAGTTCTCTTGATTCAAAATCTTTGAGCTTTAATTAATTCCGAGTAATTTAGACGATTGGCAAGCATATGTTGAAACGTGAATATCGACCAATTTTAAGCGTACCTATCACATATTCAAGCAAGAAAATGAGTGAGGCATATATGTTGATCTATGTGTTGAGAGTTTGTCATTTTAAGGCCAAGTTGATGTTTGAGGCATATGGTCGTATGATCGTTTGAATTCGACCCGATTGAGTTAGACATTTTGAGGCTCTTCGTATTTGAATCCATATCGATGCTCGTGTTTTGTTTTATTTTCTCTTTGTTCGGGACGAACAAAGGTTCAAGTGTGGGGGAGTTGTTGTGACCATTTTTGTTACGTTTTCCGTTACTGTTTTGTCGTTCTTTTTCCCCCGTTTTAGGTCCTTTTGTTAGTTTTTAGTTCGTTTTGTAATTTATTGTGTGTTTTGCTCTATTTTGGTTTTCTATGTGTTTTTCGTGTATTTTGTTGGTTTTTTACGTTTTTCTTCTTGCTTTTGGTGTGCAAGTCGAAAGCCCCGTGAGGAATCAATTTAGCTTGAAAACGGGCCGGAAAAATCATGGTTGGATAGGTGGGTTCATTGGCTACAAGTAGGAAGAAGCGGAACCCGATTTCGAGTTCGGACGAGTTTGAACGGGGCCGATATGCGAAGTCGTGCACGGAAGCCGTGAACTTCAAGTCAAAAGCTTTGGGTGAATAAGATTTTAAGAAAATGTTGAATTTGAAAACACAACTTCGTAGAGGGCTTCGTTAGCAACGCGTAGGAATAACGGAACTCAATTCCGAGTTCGGACGAGCCCAAAAAGCAAAATAGTGCATGCAGGCAACCACCTAGCGCGCCGCGGGGCACCCTCCGCGAGGCTTCAGAGAGCACGCCCAGGCATCCCTCGCGCCATGAGCTGCCCCGCGCCGTGCTAAGAAGACCCTCCACGCCGTGCTGCACCCTCGCGCCGTGCACCTGGTCCCTCCACTCAAATTTTCCACAGATTCTTGCCACTTTTCTTCCATGTTTTAAGCACTCCTCACTTCCATGTTTTGAGCCACTTTTCACCTCCATGTTATGAGGCATTTTAGCATGTTTTATGGAAGAAATTGTGGAGGAAAAATGGGAAGAAAATAACTATAAAAAGGGTGACAAAGTCTTGAACAAGAACACACATAACCGAGGGGTTCTCCCCCTTTACTCCTCTCCTCTCTTTTCCCTCTTTCTTTATCTTTTTTTTTTTTTCTTCTTCTTCTTCTACTTCTTTTTCCTTCTTCCACCACTTTATTTTATTTTCTTTCAAGGATGAGGCTTTGTAATTGGATTCAACATTTGGATGAATTGGAAATTATCTCTTTGAATTAATTCATGAAGAATGGTTAATTTAGAAGAAATATTTTGTTGTGTTGAATTTAATATGCTTAGCTAATTCCGATTGCTAGGGATAGAAAATGATTATTCTTGTTTAATTTGTATTTGTCGGGTTTCGATTGTTCGTTCTTGTACGAGTTGTTGTAATTAGAAATTAATAAAATCGTGCTTGATGAATTGAAATAGCCTGAGAGTGACACTTAGGTTAATTTATTGATATAATCGAAGAGTGACACTTCGATTTTGAGATTAAGAATGATTGAATATTAATTTGTTGAGTTAGAGTTTGTTAATTCTACATGATTAGTTGATTAAACACCTTCTAATTAAATTAGCGACTTTTGGAACCGAAAGGGGAGGAGACGTAGAACTAGGCTCGTATGAGGTGGACATGTTCGAAGACGTATTGCCTATAGGTTTCGGATTGAAGTACACGCTTGTCGATGTCTCTTCTCATGTTACGAAGAGTTATTGAGATTGGATTATCAGCCGGTGTTGTATGCTCGAACTTGCTCGTCTATGTTCAATCTCATGTTACGAAGAGTTATTGGGAGCGAACCGCTAGATGTTTAAGCGAGAGTATCAATCTTGGACCGAACAATTAATTGCTTGACATTGCAACGAAAACTCGAATTAATTATTTCCGACTCCTTAGCTTTTCTATCATTATTTCATTTCTATTTTTTAGATAGATTTATATTTCTTGTTATTTCTTAGTTGACAATCAAAAACCAATCCGATCTTGAATTAGAGTGTTTAGGAATTTATTTTCTATTTTTGTATTTTGGACAACTAACTAGCAAACGAAGCTCCGAACCGTCTTCCTTTGAGAGACGACCCGAGTCCGGATAACTCGGTTACCAAATTATGCCACCACAAAATACTGCACAACAGTGTTTTGTATGGAGAAGGAATAAGACCTGATTGGAATGACATTATAATGCTACATTATCAATTATCACTATTTTAACAAAAAAAAAATAAATAAATAAAACAAACAATACTTATATTAATGTTATTTTCTTATTTATGATAATGCTAAAATAATTTTATTTTAAAAATACTATATTCTAATAAATGTAACTATTTAATATATTTTTGTATTGTCACACCGACCTTACATAATAAATAAGTGGATTATATATTTATATAAATATTAACTAATACAAAGATATTATTACAATGAATCCCTAGAACCATAAGTGGTCGGGTATTATTTTTTTAATATAATTCAAATTATGAATAAATATATAATATATATTGTTATATAAAAATAAAATAAGATATATCTAAACTATGTATAAATGCATTTTTGGTAAACATTATTTTTATATTAGTATTTAATATATCTAAATAAAATGTGAATTAATAAAAAATAAAATTATTTTTAATTATTTATTAGAAATTATTTTTTTTAAATAATTTAATTTAATTTAATTTAATCATAACATATAGTATATATTATATATTTATTGTTTGTTGTTATTGGTTAAATTTATTTTTTGAAAAACTGATTCCTAAAGAAATGGGAATGGTAAACCCATGCATTAACTATGGAATGGCTAATCACATGGAGATGAGTCAAAATGTTGAATGTCTGCCAATACATTCAAGGTAGAATAGATAACTCCCAATGGAATTACATATTTTTTCATTTTTCATTAAAATCTAAATCCTCATCATGTCAAAGACAGCTTATCCAGTACATATAGACGGCTAAAATAATCAAGTTTAAAGTCACCACTACACAGACTATCCATAATTCACCTTGAGTTCCATCCAGTTTCACTAGGCGACCCTTGTCCTCCTCCACATGCCTTTGCAATATTTTGTGACTTTCAACCTTAGCATCTACAAAGGGAACACAATTCTCGTTATAATCAACATTGGCATTTAGATTTTTACCATTAATGTAGCAAACAAACAGCTTCTCAGAATTCTCGGCATTTTCTGGGGCAATGATGGTGATTTTCCCTCCACATTCTTTCATAATTTTCATCCCAAAACTAGGAAGTCATTACAGGCTCATCCAAACCAAATTGAAAAATACAAATATTTGCCTTTTACCTTAGCATAATTCCCAAGAACATTAATGTCTTACAGAATTAAAATGCCTGTTAATATGTATATTTCAATTAAATAAATTGCCGTAGCATGTAAAACACTACAAGCCTCGAAAGATATTAATAGTTTTTTAATGATGACTGATCCTCTCTCTTGCACTAGAACAAATCTGTAACCGAAAGATGTGTCATAGTAAGTGTCAAGATATTCCAGTAGTAATAGAGTTGTGGAATAAGTTGACGAATATCAGGGAGTTCTCCAGACTGGAACAAACTAAACAAACAGTTAAAATTATTGACAACTTACACGTCATACAATTTTACTGGTGGAGAAAGATGTGGGAGTGTATACACAATGTCGAAGATGATTGATTTTTGGTAATTCAGCCAAAAAGTAGTTTTTGTTAAACCAGAAACTGAAGTAAATAACAAGAAATAGAGTTTACAAACCTTGAAGTTGCACTAAGAAGAAAGGTAAATCTTGAAGCTTTTGGCAAGCCCCATCAGGACCACAGGGCTGGACTAGGAATTTCAGAACGGATACGCCAGAAGCAACTTCCAGCTTATAAACATAATATGTTTTTAGTAGCGCCACACCAACATAATCCAAAGCAACCTCACTGTAATTTCCATTTCCAGATGACTTGCTAACATATATATTGTAGTTGGTGAAAATATCAGCACTTCCATCTTTCAGCTGCCAAGTAAGCTTAACACTGAGGAGTTTGGACCCACCAGGCCCGGCAGCCCAACTCACAAACTGACCACCAATGAGCCAAGATGATGACGGTGGGAATTTCGTACTCTCTTGAGATTTAGTGATCTTAATATCACCAAGCACCGCATAGTATTGGGAGTTGTTGTTCTTAACTGTTTGAAGGGGCTCTTGGTGATATTTTGATGTGTAGCATACAGCCCGGATTTCTCTCAATATGTGTCCCTTCATGTAAATGCTGCTTTCCTGCACCAACCATTCAGGGTCCACCTCCAGCTTGGTTACTCTATGCGGCATTACAACTTGGGTAAATTGGTTCTGGAATTTGTTTGCGGTTAAAGTGGCACTTCCGGATGCTGCTAAAAAGATGTAACTGTTCTCATTGCAAGCGTTAGAGGACTCAAGAGCGAGACCTAACAGCGAGTTCCCACTTGACTTAACCTACAACCAGTACATCCGTTTAGAAAGCTATAGTAACATTGTTTATCAATTACACAAAAAAGATAAAATCTTGGGCATTTGCAGCTTTGGCATCTTTCCATGGTAATTTGAGGCCTTATAAGGGCGTGCTTGGATTCAAATGTATCTCATCAAAACGAGTTTTTTTGGTTAACCAGCGTTGATTTTGAAAAATGTGGTATAGTTAGTTGTTAGTGAGATTTTGAATTTATATTAAAATAATTAATAAAATAGTTAAAATGGATTTGATGTAAAAGTAGGAGAGAGATGACGTGAAGTAATGGTTAGTTAATATTATGTAAGTGGGTGAATAGTGCATTAAAATTGACGTGATGTGTAAGAATTAATTGATTGATATAATTTAATTACATTGATAATATTGAAGATAAGTGGGTTGAGTTAAAGTTCAGTTAGATTTTTAGTATGGATTGAGAAAATTTATAAACAAACACACCCTAAGCTAAAATGGCATTTCTCGTTCCACAACTTCCATTGGCATTTCTGGGTATTTTGGTTTTCTAGGGTATATTTCATACCGAAACAGCCATAAGGGACAGCTGTTATGAAAATTATAAAATTGAATGCAAGGAATTGAAACTTATGCGACAAATTTGCCTCCATATGTGCTTAAGGACACCAAAATCGCTGTAACATTATAGTTTTATGTCTTGTGCACTCGCTAAACGCTATCTAAGTGATGGACTGGGGCCAAGCTCCTAGGCAGGATCTAATCCAACCCCAGGCCGGTTTCGAGATTTATGTGGTTCTATTTGGGCATGAGTAAAACTCATTCCCAAAAGGTAGCTTAGGGAGAGTGTGTAATAACAACCCAATAACTAATCGATGTGGGCCAATCATAACTTCCAACACCCGCCCTCATGCATAGTGTGCCAAACCCAATGGGTCGGGTCAAAACTCAACATTGCCTCCAAACGAACAAAACAAACCCGGATGCTCTGATACCATGATAAATGTGCCTGAGTAGAAGTGTAGAACTCATACCCAAAAGTTAGCTCAAAGGGAGAGGGTGCCCAGCCCACACTTATACACAATAACAACTCAATAACTAATCGATGTGGGACAAACATAACTTCTAATAGATATAATTGGAGAAAAAAAGATAGGAGGTCATGGGGGGCCTTGGCTATAACATAGTGCCTAGGCGAGATATAATCAGAGGTAGGCGAGGCCTTCAACAATGCTTATACTGACTTAAAAAACTATGTTTGAAGTTCACTTTTATCATGCAAAAGGAGTAGTGTCATATTTCAAAATTACAGACACCACTCGACATAGATTTTTATGTTACATTGCTCCTAATAAGCCTTTGATAAGAATAATTGTAATACCTAAAAACCTCAATATAGTAATTGTAATTAGTATATGGTTGCCATTGTATGGTTACTTGTTATATGGTTGGTTGGTTT